AGAATCCAGTAGATTCTTGTCAAATATTAAGAGATTTTAGGAGATTTTCTCAAGTGCTTCTATCAGGATCACGAGTCAGCTTGAGGTTAAAACCTCTGAAATGTAACGAAAGCCTCCTCCTGTTAATCAGCAGTATCTATACAGTAGTCACTGTAGCGTAGTTACTACATACTAGGATGTAACACTGTTTGCTTCAGTTTGGTTAGATCCTGAGAAAAGATCGGACATTAGCATAAGAACTGATATTATGCACCAATATCTAGGATATTAATGCAATCGATAGAAGTTCATACACTAACTGTCTTGGTCTATATTTTAATCCAAAGATTAATGTTTAATTTAAGATAATTAAATTTAATAGCAAAAGTTTATTTATTGAATCAGAAGTTAGGAATCTTTGCTTATTCAATAACCAAATATACACCATTCTGTGTTTCATTTCAAAGCCTTTGTCAGTAATTAGAGGCCATTCATGACGCTACATCACCAAACATTTCAGAGAGCTGAATAAGATGTTGGTTTGATTTAAACACCCACACACTCCCACGTGTTTCCCCTCTTCTCCCTTCAGATGGGAGGTGCATGACATCACCATTAAAGAGGTGCTCCAAGTGTGTGTGGGCAGCATGTATGATGCGTGTGTGTAAGCCAAAGCTTCAGAGCCGTGGGTCTGCATCTGTTGTGTGTGTGTGTGTGTGTGTGTGTGTGTGTGTGTGTGTGTGTGTGTGTGTGTGTGTGTGTGTGTGTGTGCGCGCCCGCCCAGCCGGAGGCTCCGGTGCAGGGCTACACTTCCTGCCATGCTGGGCTCTGGCTGAGCTGAGTGGGAGGGAAGAGTGGGCCGAGTGAGTCACACACAAGTTGGAACAGTCTCTGCCAGGATTAGAAGAAATCTTATTTCTTATTGTTGTGATTTTTTATCATGTTTGTATTTATTCTGTTTTATTGTGTCAATTGTTTGGCTGCTTGTGTGTTCAGCATGTAGGTTATCTTGGGCTGTTCTATCTATCTATCTATCTATCTATCTATCTATCTATCTATCTATCTATCTATCTATCTATCTATCTATCTATCTATCTATCTATCTATCTATCTATCTATCTATCTATCTATCTATCTATCTATCATCTATCTATCTATCTATCTATCTATCTATCTATCTATCTATCTATCTATCTATCTATCTATCTATCTATCTATCTATCTATCTATCATCTATCTATCTATCTATCTATCTATCTATCTATCTATCTATCTATCTATCTATCTATCTATCTATCTATCTATCTATCTATCTATCTATCTATCTATCTATCTATCTATCTATCTATCTATCTATCTATCTATCTATCATCTATCTATCTATCTATCTATCTATCTATCTATCTATCTATCTATCTATCTATCTATCTATCTATCTATCTATCTATCTATCTATCTATCTATCTATCTATCTATCTATCTATCTATCTATCATCAAGGCAAGGCAGCTTTATTTCTAGAGCACATTTCAAACACAGAGGTAATTCAGTGTGCTTTACAATTATCAGGACATGATATGAAAACAACATAAAAACACAAATTAAAATACAAACAGATAGAATTACAGATTAGAGCTAAAGGAGAAGACAAAGTTACAGGACAGATTACAGTGGAGATGAAAGCATGATAAGAAACAACTAATAAAGGCTGATGAGTACATGAGGGTTTTTAGTTTTAAACTACACTAGGGTTGGAGCAGATCTGAGGTCATGGGGAAGCAGATTCCGTATGTGAGCAGCAGAGTAACTAAATGCATCTCCATCATGCTTTGTTCTGACCCGAGGTTCTACCAGCTGATAGTTACCTAAGGTTCTCAGAGCCCTGTTGGGTGTTTATACAGGAATGAGATCGGACGTGTATTCTGGTCCCATGACATTGAGTGATTTATAAACTAGTAGGATCACTTTGAAATCTATTCTGTAGTTTACTGGTAACCAGTGTAGAGATCTAAGAACAGGAGTGATGTGCTCCGTTCTCCAAGTTCTTGTTAAGACTCTAGCAGCAGCATTCTGAACAAGCTGCAGTTGCTTCACAGCTTTTGGGAAGACCAGTTAGGAGACCTTGCTTTGTATGGATGTTGCTGTAAAGACTCTGATGCAGCAAGTCAGTGACTCAAAAAAATAAACACAAAAATAAACAACCATGATGAACAAGAGTCTGCTTCTAGACCTGCAGAAAGAGAAAAACAACACAAAACAATACTACAGGAGCAATCTATCACTGCGTCAACCTGATGAGGAAATATAAAATCAACATTGTTTAACTGAACAATCACACAATAATAAATCACAGTGCATTTAGTGCCAACCACAGCCTTAAGACATGTGTTGAAAATGCCCAAGTCCATACTTACGAGAGCACCATGTGAGCACCTGTGTGTGTACACGCGCTTGTATGTGTAAGGTTTCTCTATAGGAGCGTCCAATAGAGAGTGTGAGGGGCCACAGATCTGCCCCCCAAA